TGTGAAGCCAGAAGAAGGCCAACGGAGGAAGATTTGGACAAGGATTTTGACCTGAACGAGGAGGTAGGGAAAAAGCCTTAGCTTGTAAATTTTGCTAAAGCTTTGGCTGTGTTACCTCTGCTAACACTTTGACCTGTTGTATATACAGGTCCCTCCTAAAACTCGGAAAAGATGACGTCGATGTATGTGACATCTCGCTAGGACAAGACAGAGTAGAGGAAAGGAGAGCAGAGGCAACAGCCATAGAGACAGACACTGAGGCCTCTGCTCCACAATCTCAAGACACAACCATGACTACCAAGCCTTAGAGGAAACGAGGGGATAGAAAAGAAAATCAATATCCAGATAAGGCATGCTATGTGATAATGGAGGTTGGGCCAGTAGGGGAGATCCTTGAGCCGAAGGAATTAAGAGGACGATTCTGTAATGCGATCGGGGCCCTAGTAAGAGATAAATTGAACCCAGCAATCTCTAACTGGAAAGAGGTACCAGAGAAGAAAAATGATGAATTATGGGATAGGCAGCTGAAGCTCAATTTTAGATTTCCGGAGGGTAAACACGAACTGGTAAAAAATGCTTTTAGGATCATGGGAGAGTCATTCCGACGTTGGAGGTCGGAGGTCGGAGGTCAACAAGAAGTATATCCAAAAGGGGTTAACTCCCTTCAACGAGTTCGGCAACATAACTCCTAGTCAATGGGAGGAGCTCGTGGCTCAGAAGACTTCACCGGAGGCATTGAAGCTCAGTGCCCGTAACACCAAGCTAGCGAAGAGGAACAAACACCACCATCATCTAGGCCCCGGTGGCTACTATGCCAAGGAAGAGCAGTTTAGGAAGATGGGCGATGAGGCCACAACTGCTGGGAATATCGATGTGATGAATTTGAAGGTGCGCTCAAGGAATTGGATATATGCGAGGAGTACAGAATCATCTAGCGGTAATCTTAAGTTTGATAAGCTAGAGACCCAAGAGGCAGTATCAAGGATACTGAAATATGCTGAAGATAAGGAGAAGGGCTCATTCAATCCTTCTAGAGAGAGAGACGAGCTTAGCCTTGGCTTGGGAAACAAGGAGCACACAGGCCGCACCAGGGGGCTAGGGAAAAGGACGACCTGGAAGCACGGATTTGAAGAGGACAGACACATGTACAAGAAACATGGTAGAGACCAGGAGACTAATCTTGAGCTCCAAGTAAAGGCTCTAGTTGCGAAGGCGCTGGAGGAGCAAGGACTGTCTACGGAGTCATGAACATTAATGATGCCACCGGGAGAACTAGCATTAGTTGGCAGCCCTCCAAAAGTTTGTAGCAGCTAAGGTTCCACTGCAGCCAGAACCCCCGTCGATCGCATACGGGAACCAACTAGTTGCACCTTGGTGTTTCTCAGTGGACGGCAGAACATTGTGATGGAGGTGGCAACGGGTGTGGCACATCCTCCCAGTGGCTTACACCACAATAATAAGATACCGCCGAACTACACTAGGGTCGAGGTGCATAGCATGAAGCCCAAGTTCATGCAGTGGAGGATAGACTACACAACTCCCGAGGGGCGGGTGTTACTCGAAGATGTAATGGGGCAGTTCATCCTCTAGCACAAACGGGACATTATATTGACTGCTTCTTCGCCGCCTCCCCCTCTCCCAAATTTGGAGCGAGTTGTTGAGGACGGGGAGATATTTTCACCGTCTCATGACCACCACATTCTTGAGATGCCACATTCTTCCCCACCTCCTAGCGAGCATGTGCCTGATAAGCCACAACCTTCTCCAGCTCGTACCGAGCAAGTGCATGATGAGATGCCACAATCTTCTCAACAAGCACAGCCGATACATGAACAATGAGTGCTTCCTAAAGAAGGTGATGCACAAGAAGATGAGGACATGCCTGAATGGGAACTTTGAAAGAAGCATCCAATCACCATAAGGCCAATTTATGTTCTGATGAAAGATGTCTCGTCGGTGCACAAGTGGTATGCCCATTACCAGTTCAAGCCTGAGAACCAAGTTAAAAAAGTCCCATCACAGGCTTTAGAGGAGGCCATCACTAGCAAACTTCACCAAATAGCAAATCAGTATCCAAATGTTGATGCCATCAAATGGTCAAAGGATTGCCCGAAAACATATGAAAGAGGCAAGTCGTTCCTACCAAACCGGGACATCCAGCGCCTACCACTTGGAATGAGAAGGTTCCATGATTGGTACTTGCATGTTCTCCCAACAAGCATAGACCTCATACAAGCATGCTTCCCCGCCAGCACATTTAGAAGCCCAGTCGAGAAAATTATATTTGACTTCAATGACATGCAGACATGCTTTCACCTTAGAGCAATGGAGATGAATCTAATTCGCACGTGGTGCCTATAAGTTCTTGTCCTCCCGATATGATATGAATGTAATCTTTGGATTTTGTTGTAACTAACCCATGTCGTTATTTGTAGAATGCAAGTGCACATTGTAAAACAAATGCCAAGTGTGAACGCTGGGTATATAGACCCTCAAGCTATAGCACAAACAAATTTTAATTACCCTAAACAGTGGAAACTGGATGACAAAGAGCTAGCTGCTGGAAAGACCCTTCGAGAGAAAGAGGACATCCGTACAAAGAAACTAAGGCAAGAGTCCCTTAAGGTTTCGGCATACATTGCCCAGGCTTTTAAAATTATCCAACAACACTCTACTATATGGCTACCATACAAACTTTGAGTAAGTTCAACTCTATACTTAAAGCTTTGTTCGATATATTTTATTCGATGCAAAAGAGCTTATCTAGTTCTATAATTAAATCCATGCAGCAACCACTGGATTTGTATAGGCGTCGATGTCGGAAGGAGCATGGCATGGGTCTTTGATTCAATAGATAGGGACCCGGTGACATACAAAGACTTCATATCGATTCTCAAGACGTATACATATCGACAATCCTTATTAGCTTATATGTTTGTATACATACTTGTAACGTTCACTTTTGGATACTAACAAGTTGTATTTGCTAAAATAATTCGAACAGAGCATTTAGGTTCTATGTCACTAAACATCACGGAAGGCATGATCCAGCAAGGAAGGAAAAGCTGGCTATAAAAACACTACATGCGATAAGTGTAACTTACTTCTTCAGTACTCCATTACATGGCTGTCAAAAGCATTACTTAACATTTCCATATGCAAAACACACAGTGCTCGAAGCAGAAGCCTGGGAGTGTACATTGTGGATACTATGTATGTTCTATGATGAGTAACACCGGTGCCTACAGGAGGCACCCCTTAAGGGTAAGTTTGAACCTCTTTACCCGTAGTATAAAAACTTCGTACATGGTATGAAATACTAAACCGAAACTTGTTCTCTTGTAGTGGAAAGAAGAGAAAGAAATGAAAAGAGACCCATACAAGGATGACCAACTCTTAGAGCTCGTCAGCGACCTTTGCAACTTTATATTGGACCAGATTGTACACGTCAAAGGCACCTACCATGACCGAGAGTCTGACTTAGGTAGAAATCCTCAGTACCAACACCTTTGTGAGACCGAAAGGCTAGCTCTAGGCCATTGATAACAATGTGTATGGAATTTGACATTGGTTTGACCTTGTGAATTATGTCTATTTAATGATGGATTGTATATATTCTTGTGAATTGTACTTGTAATTGTAGTTTATATAATACTCTTGAGCGAACGCGGTTCAGAGGCTGCGTTTTGCGAATCGTGGATCGTAGTTAAGTTTCGTGCGTTCCATGCCGCGGGCGATTCCCGATCGCGCGTTGATCGCGGGGCGTTCGGCGAGATTATCTCGCTTTCCTTGCTCACTCGCAACGCGAACGCGGGAATACGCGGAAACAAACATGGCCATATGTATGTTCTGGTTGAATTTGAATTGTAAATTTAAATTTTTTTTTGGGAAAATGTACTGTAGGGGCGGTTCTAGACTGAACCGCCCCTATAAACAGGTATTATAGGGGCTGCTGATAACACCAGCCGCCCCTACAAATGCATGATTTGTAGACGGTTTGGTAGGGGCGGCTGGCCAAACCGCCCCTACAAATGGTCTTGAGCTGTCCCTACAAACCCTGTGTGATGTAGTGATACTTCATCTTTGCAGGCGTGAACATTAGTGACTGACTGACTCGAATCGGAAGAATTGCCTTGCATAGCCAATATACCACATATACAGTCACCATAATGACAGGCACTGGCACTTTTATTCTAAACTGACTGTTTAACGAAACACAAAATGTTAGTGTTCATGCATGAAAAGATAAGGTAATCATTGGCTGCAAAAGAAAAGAACCCTTATAGTAGCATGTGTGGTTACTAGATAGTGAGACTATTGAATAATACAATCATAACAAATTATTGGCCCTGCATGTAAATTTTGATTTATCATTGATTTCAACTTGTGGTCTATGATCTCTGCTAAGCGCACTCCACTTCAAACTTATTAGCAGAAGTTGCTGTAAAAAAGAACACAGTGCAACTTTATGATAAACCTTTTCGAGTTCTTAGTTTTTTTAAGGTTATTCAATTTTTAATCATTTCTAGTATGGAATTCGAATTGTTTTAACTCCTCTATGGGAAAGGTGGTCTAAATTAGATTTGAGAATACGAGGAAGAATTTTCTCATGAGTAGACATTCCCAGGGCCAATGAGAGTAATCTATGGTGTCTGATGGGAGCCTCAGCCTTATATGTGAGTTCCTTGTAGGTCGTTGGCCATGGATCCCTAGGTGACTAGGTCCTTGGTTGTTTTAGACTGCTAGTTGTGTTTCCCTAGTTTATTTTCTAGTATACTATATTGACAAAACCATGTGGTGCCAGGGAGGGGGTTTCATACTTCCCTCCCTTTGTATATTTTTATTCTTCTTAATAAAATGACGCGCAACTATTCTGCATAGTTCAAGAAAAAAGTAAACTACTAGTAGTAATAAGCAATGTAAAGAAATAAAAGAATTTAAACACACAAAAATAATAAGACATTATGGAACCAGTCTATTGAAGAGAAAAAAACAACCTTTTATATCCGAGATATTCCTGAACCAGAGATACAAAATCCCACATATTTACTGGTTTCATCTTTGTTATGAAATAGGTCTGCAAAGTGTAAAGTAGCCAAATATGTCAAGAAAGTATAAACACGGTACCAAATACATGCAATGTAGCGACGATGACTTACTTGCCCTCCAGCTATATCTTTGCACCCTCCTCACTAGACAAAGTTTTCTCTGCACATATATGACTATGTGCAACATTTTCGACAAACACAAAGTCGTCATAGTTCTTTCCACTACCAAGAATGAATTGAAACAAGTATAGTATTAATTTCTTTTATCAATTTATATCATAAATATTATATGTTTATTGCATGCTAAGTTGACTGATCACATACACATTTTGTAGTATCGTTTATGTAATGTTATATTTTTGCAACGAATCTTTGTTGTTTAAAGGCTTTTAATTTGTGGAATTTTATTATGCATATACAATTATCTCTATTCTGATTACATGTCGTCCTTTCCATTAAAGATGACAAATATAAATAGTTCAATAGAACTTCTTTCCCCGGCACCCCAGGTGACTGGCTAGGTGCATAGTCAGACTGTTTCTCCTGGTAACTGAATATATGTGCAACACATCTCTTTCTAAAACCATCCCAAATCACATCCTCTTTATTTTAACCATGCGAGTTACTAATATATATATATATATATATATATATATATATATATATATATATATATATATATATATATATATATATATATATATATAAAGTGTTTCACTTTTATTTTTATGAAGTATTTAGACATGGGCATTGCTTATTTACCATAAACTTCCATATCCTTGAAGATGCTAGCATTGGTATATTTTTGCCACCAGGCCCAAAAATATTGCCAGGACGTATACAACAAGTGAGAAGGCCTTTTGTGCCATTAGCTTTCATCACTATCTTCTCTCCTTCTGCCTTAGTTTGTGTATAGGCATCGACGAACTAAAATCAACAAAAAAAATACCACATTAGACATGTATAGTATAGCAGCAGTTAAGTTATTCTTCTAGCTACTTTGTTGTACAAAAGGAAGGAAACATGTTTAGGAGAAGCTAATTTAGTATTCAATTAAATGCCTTCCTTCCAATTACAACTTTAGAGGTGTTAAAAATAGTGTTTACATTAGTGAGGACAAACCTTAAATGGATAAGGCATTGATTCATCAGCATCAAAAAGGCCATGAACCCCATCAAATACAACACCACTAGAACTGGTGTATATAAGCCTCTTGACCTTGCACATGATACAAGCTTCAACAACATTCTTTGTTCCTGGCATGTAAAAAATTCATACAATTATGAAGCAAGTAACTTTTAAATTGTGGTTATGATGGGTTTTTGGAAGAATATTTTTATTGTTTAGTACTAAATATTAATAATAGTGTTATAATTTACAATGCAATATATTGTCAGGAAACAGTTACGAATTTAGATATCTACCATGACATTTTAATTTGTACTATGGCAAACCATTATTATATATGTGTAATTGGGTGTCTACATATTTTTTGATCAAACATTTTAATGAAACATATGAACAAAAAATAAATAATTGAGTTATCAACTGCTAATGCATAGAAGTTTCATTAACTTTAATTATGTAGTTGAACCTTGAACGTGAACCTAGCAGGGTTCAAGAGCTCACCATATTAGTCAGCATATTACCAGTGTTACTAGATACCATACACTACTGAAATGGCATGAAATGGAATATTTTGTCACATGGAGTATACTGTAAGTAATAGAATCTAACCTTCAACATTGACAGAGTAGTGAAGTCCGAAGTTTTCGTTAATTGCATCTGGAGCAGCCGTATGGAAAACAACGTGTACCCCTTCAAAAGCTGAATAAAATAGCAATTACAAGTGTAAGTGCGACCTGCTGAAAAGACCTAAGCACGAGGAGAGATGAAATGGGGCTCAATTGGGTATGATTATGAATAAAATTCACAAGTCTATACAAGAAGCTCATTATATATAGCCCAACAAGCAAGCAGCAGGCGCACAATTGCAGCTCTTGTGGCTAATTATCTAGCAACAAGAAGCCCATTATAGCCTAACAAGCAAGCAGGAGCCGCATGATTACAGCTGGAGCCTGCTGCTGGAGATTGCACAGTATCGTACTTACCTCGCCTCCACGTAGAAGAGAGGAGCACACAAGTGGCTATATAAATAGACCAATGTAATCACTATTGGTTCCTTCCAAAACACACAGGCATCTGCATATTTAAAACAAAAAATGCGGTCTCGATCGGGCAGAAATTTTTCTATCCTATTTTCATGTCTAGTTGTGGACATGGACATGGACGACCTGTTGGGTACCCCATGACCCGAACGAGCATGGATCTAGGCACAAAATCAAGCTCGTGATGATCATGAGTTTTTAGTGGATGGATTTTATGTTCATGGGCATGTGTTTGTTTGGCAAACCCAGCAGGGTTGTGCCCGTTGCCATCTCGAATCGTTACTGTCTAGATGCAAAAACGACGTGTCTGCCCTATACTCAGGAATAGGGAATCCAACAACCACCTCTTCATTTCCTGCTAATACAGTTTTAGGTTTGGTACATGTTCTTGAGACTCTCAACATCCCCTGCCCGGCACCCTTGAGGAGTCAAAGTTGATATGTGCCCTTGAGTAAAGAATGTTGAGAGATTGTCAAGGTGATTGAGGCTTTTCTGATTATGTTTTAACTCATATATGCCTAATTATAATAGCTAGCCAGCAGTGTTGTTTGTGTTGTGTGGAAAAAACATATCTTGTGTTGTGTCTCTTCGCTTGTGAAGTAGTATATATAAGTGATGGATGCGACATGTTCATAGGAATAATTTTAGCTGCTAATAATCAACAATACTGAATCCAAACAACATTTACAGTATAGTAAGGATTAAATATTTTTTATATAAATTTAGTCAAAATTAAGACAGTTTAGAATCGTGTCTTTCCAGCGATAGAGAGAGTAGGTTACAGAAGGAGTGCCAAATTAAAACAACCTTTGGCAATCTGCGTGAGGTCACGGACGTCGCCCTGGATGTAGGAAGCCTGGCCATCCTGGATGGCAGCTCCGAGGAGCTCCTCCGCCTCGCCGGTGCCAAGCACAACGGTGGGGGCGAGGTCGACCACGCGCACACGCCAGTCATCGGAGCGGAGCAGCGCAGCCACGAGGTACCTTGAGACGACCCTAACCAGATAAGGGAAGATTGCCGACGTGCACGCGCGGCTGGGGAGCACGGCGATGGCGCCGCCTCAAGCAGGCAACGGAAGGAGAAATAGGATTCGGAAATTAGGTTTTTCTTATTCGTTGTCCACCCATCCTCCCACACAGCGAGTTTAATGTCAATGCAACGAAAGAAATGGGTCAAGCCCAGTAGAAACACCCATGCGGCTCGCAGGCCGACTTACAGGCCGGTACAGCTAGTGCAGCCCAACTCGAAGTATAGCCGGAGGCCTGTTCGTGACATCTCCCCATCCTTAAGCTGCAGCGCGCCCTCGCGATGCAGAACCAGAGGACTGAATCAGCGATGCCGGTATAGCAGTGGCACACTCCCAGGTAGCTCAATGCACTGGACATGATTCACGCTGCAACAAAGCAACCGGCACCACCCGGCGACCAACCAGATGAAGACGCTTATCCAATACCTAGGACGGTGGAAGCCCTTCCAGCATGTAGAGAAGTTGCAGCTCGTCATCGGTCGATAGGGTGGTGTTCGGAGGTATAGCCTTCTTTAACTGGGACACATGCAAAACAGGATGAATTTGACTATTGGCAGGTAACTAAAGCTTGTAAGCTACTTTACCCACGGTTTGGAGCACCAAATAGGGTCCGAAGTACTTGTAACTCAGTTTCTGGTTGGTACGATGGGAAACAAATTGTTGTATGTAGGGTTGCAACTTGACATAGACCCAATCACCCATAGCGAAGGTTCTTTCTTGACGATTCTTGTCAGCTTGACGTTTCATGCGCTACTGAGCTCGAGCCAGGTTGTGCTGGATATGCTGCAACATCATATTACGGGACTGGAGCCAATCCTCCAAATCAGGAGTTGAACAAGCATCTGTGAGTGTAATGCCGAAGTGCTTGGGTGGGTACCCGTATAAAGCCTCAAAGGGAGTATGACCATGGGCAGAGTGGTATGTGGTATTATACCAAAACTTGGCTAAAGGAACCCACTGAGCCCATTTGTGAGGACAGGAGTGGACCATACAAAGCAGATAGGTTTCTAGGCACTGGTTTAAGCGTTCCGTTTGACCATTGGTCTGTGGATGGTAGGCCGAGCTCATGTTAAGTGTAATGTCAGTAAGTTTGAAGAGCTCTTGCCATAAGGCACTGGTGAAGATGCGATCTCTATCTGAGATGATAACAGAGGGCATACCATGCAATTTGTAGACGTTGGAGATGAAGGTTTGAGCAACAGAAAGGGCGGTGTATGGATGGCTGAGACATATGAAGTGGGCATATTTGGTCAGTTTGTCGACAACGACCAAGATGGTGTCAAAGTGCTTGGACTTGGGTAGACCTTCGATGAAGTCAAGGTTGATAGTGTGCCAAGCGTGTTGGGCAACAGGCAATGGTTGCAATAAACCCGGCAAACGACAATGTTCAGGTTTAGCCTGGGCACATACCTCGCAAGCGTTGATGTAGTCAGTGACAGACTGCTTCAAATTGGGCTAGGCAAACAGGGCTCGAACCTTGTGATAAGTGGCAGTAATACCACTGTGTCCTCCCAGACCACTAGAATGGAGTGCCAGTAACACTGCCCGGTGTGCTTCTGTGTGATTGCCTAGCCAAATTCTGTTTTTATACTTGATGAGACCATCAGATAGTGAGAAACCTTTATCATTTGACCCAGTAATGCTGAGTTCTGTGAGCAGTTGCTTGGTTTGATCATCTTTTGTGTAACCTTCCACTATGATCTCCATCCATCTGGGTGTACTGGTAGATATGGCTGCCACTGTGCCAGGTTCAGCTTGCCGAGATAAGGCATCAGCAACCTTGTTTTCTAACCCTTTCTTGTACAATATCTTGTACTGCAGCCCAAGAAGCTTGAGGAAGGCTTTATGCTGCATCCCTTCCTGTAACTTTTGTTCTCCCAAATGTATCAGACTTTTATGATCAGTGGCTATAGTGAACTCTTGGTGTTGCAGATAATATTTTCATTTGGTAACTACCAAGATTACTGCCATGCATTCTTTTTCATATGTTGATAGTCCTTGAGCTTTGGGTCCAAGTGCCTTGCTAATGTAAGCCACAGGGTGGTTGTCTTGGGAAAGCACAGCACCCACACCTGTGGAGGAAGCATCTGTCTCAATTGTGAATGGCTTGCTGAAATCTGGTAACACCAGGACAGGGGCTAAGATCAAAGCCTACTTGAGAGCCTCAAAACTCATTTGAAGTTGGGGGTCCAGTGAAAGAGAACATCCTTCTTGAGGAGATCAGTTAATGGTCTACTGATCAAGCCATAATTCTTGATGAATTTGCGGTAGTAACCAGATAACCCGAGGAAGCCCCGTAGCTGCTTGAGATCTGTTGGAGTGGGCCAATTGGCCACCGCTTCAATTTTCTTGGGGTCTGTGGTCACTCCTTGGGCACTGATGATGTGTCCCAGATACTCCAAATTCTGTTGGGCAAATGAACACTTGTATCTCTTAAGGAAGAACTGGTGCTGCTGAAGGATATTAAAAACCTCTTGCAAATGTTCCAAGTGGGCGTCGAGCGTTGGACTGTAGATCAAGATGTCATCCACAAATACTAGCACACAATTGTGGAGCAGTGGCTTGAAAATGGTGTTCATTAGAGCTTGAAATGTTGCAAGAGCGTTGGTGAGCCCGAAAGGCATCACCCGAAATTCCCAATGCCCACTATGGGTTTTAAATGTTGTTTTCTCTTCATCAGTTGTTTGTAGTCTGATTTGGTGATAGCCAGAGCGCATATCCAGTTTTGTGAACCATGCGGCTCCATTGAGTTCATCCAAGAGTTCGTCAACAACTGGAAGGGGGTACTTGTCCTTGACAGTGATGTTGTTCAACTGTCTGTAATCCACACAGAAACACCAGCTGCCATCTTTTTTCTTCACCAAAAGAACTAGGGAGGCAAATGTGCTATGGCTGGGCTTGATAATTCCATTGGTTAGCATTTCCTAGATTTGGCGCTCAATTTCGTCTTTCTAGGTAGGTGAATATCTATAAGGCTTAATGTTGACAGGTTTGACACCTGGAATCAATGGGATGTGGTGATCAAACGCTCTTGTTGGTGGAAGGGAATCAAGTTCTTTGAAAAGGTGGGCATGGCTGTCAACCAGAGTCTGGATGGGTGCTGGAATGGTTTCAGTGGGTGGGTTGGGTTTAACATAGATGAATCATTTGAGCCACTCCCCCTTTCCTGAGCAGATCCTTCAGTTTCCTTGCCTTTAGCTTGTGATAGGTAGACAGTTTGTCCTTGACTCCTTTTAGACTAATTCTCTGCCCAACATGAGTGAACCGCAACAATTTTCTCTTCTAGTGGATCCACATGGGACTAAATCTCTCCAGCCAATCCATACCTAACACCATGTCATAGTAAGGTAATGGAAGAATTCTAACATTGGTGGAAAAGGTATGACCCTGAGTCCACCAAGTGAAGTTAAGGACCTGCTGCTGACTCAGAAGCTTTTCACCATTGGCCACTATGACAGAGACAGGAGGAGCTGATGTAAGAACACACTTTAAGGTGTCAACAGTCTTCTCACTGAGGAAAGAGCTGGAACTGCCTGAGTCAATCAGAATAAGAATTTCTTGACTATTGGCCAACCCAGTGATTTTGATGGTTTTCCTGCCTTGCACACCCACTGTTGCAGCTTGAGATAAGGAAAATACCTCGTCGTCGCTGGATTCATCAGAGGTTGGCTCAAATTTGATGGCTTCTGGAAAAAGTTCCATGACTTCTAAGATATGTAGGGACACTTTCTCTGGGCATTTATGATTCCTGCCCCATTTCTCACCACACTTCATGCATAAACCCTAGGCACGGAGTGTGGTCCATTTGTCTTCCCACTTGGGTTTAGCCTCTTCAGCTGGAGGGGCACCCAGAATACCAGGTGCTGCTGCTTGAGGTGGCTTGCCTTGATACTTGTTGTAGTCGCGATAATGGAGCTTGCCAAAATACTTGGGTTGAGACTCCAACACATCAGCCTGCATAAGAGCCAGTGACAAAGCCACATCAACTGTTCTCGGCTTATGTAAAACAATAGCAGCTCTAATGTCAGGATGCAACCCCTGAAGAAATTTGCTAACAAAGAAAACATCATCTAATTGATTGTTATGCACCAGCACTTTATGCATGACAGTTTGGAATCTATCATAATAGTCCTGAACATCAGAGGTTTGATTAATGCTCAGTAATTCCATCATAGAGTTGTGATAGAGATCTTTCCCAAATTTAGACTCAGTAGCAATACAGAGTTCAACCCAGTTATCCACCCCATGTTGTGCTTCATAAGTTTGTAACCATAAAGCAGCATGCCCTTTGAAATGAAGGGTGCCATACTGAGCCCAGCGATGCACTGAAACATTGAACATGTCAAAGTATTTTTCTGCTTTTTCTTTCCAGACTTTTGGATGAGACCCATCAAATTTGGGAAACTGGGCCTTAGGCAAGCGACATTCATTGTTGGTAGGCGCAGTATGATAATGAACTGGGAAATTGGGGATGGAGGACTGGCCATTGGCCAGGGGATGAGTGAGGACCAGAGTCCCCCCATCATTCCCCTGTGGTGATGTTGCAGTGCCATGGCCCATGGCCCGCCCCTCTTCCTCGCGCTTCAGGGCCGATGGCGGAGCGGTATTCGCTTCCAACGCCTCCACGCGCGACGTGAGAGTCTTGATCTCCATGGTTAGCTCGGTGGATGAGTGGTCGACCTTAGGACACCAATGATTGAAGGACTCCATGAGCAGGAGCATGGACTTCATCTGCGCGCTGAGCGCATTGAGCTTTTCTTCTGCGGTCACCATTCGGGAGGTGAGGGTTGGTGGTTTGGGTTTGCGCGCTAGCGAGTGAGGTAGCTGAGATAGAGGGGGTGGCGGATCGACTGGGAGGTGGGATGGAGGTGGTGGCGGATCGACTGGGAGTTGGGATGGAGGTGGTGGTGGATCGACTGGGAAATCGATCAGGAGAGGTGGTGGCGAAATGATTGGGGGTGGAAAAGTTGCTGGCGCAGTGGAATCGGCGACGGTGGAGGTAGGGGAAGGAGGTGGTGGACGAGTTGAATGGTGGCGAGGACGGATCTGGCGGTGGAGATGGAGGATTTGGTGTATGACCGCGCGGCTTCTCTAGATTCAACCGTCGGCGATGGGATTTACGAATCAGTATTAGCGATGGATTGTAAGGCTCTGGTACCAAATGAGACGACCCTAACCAGATAAGGGAAGATTGCCGGTGTGCACGCGCGGCTGGGGAGCACGGCGATGGCGCCGCCTCGAGCAGGCAACGGAAGGAGAAAGAGGATTCAGAAATTAGGTTTTTCTTATTCACTGTCCACCCATCCTCCCACACAACGAGTTTAATGTCAAAGCAACGAAAGAAATGGACCAAGCCCAATAGAAAGACCCATGCGGCTCGCAGGCCGACTTACAGGCCGGTATAGCTAGTGCGGTATAACTCGAAGTATAGCCGGAGGCCTGTTCGTGACATACCTCGCCATGAACCCACGGCCGCCGGTTACCGCGCACCACATGCCGGCCATCCCTGTACTAGACCACACGGTGCAGCACGCACAAGAAGTTTATACCCGTATGGGCGGGCGCGCGCGCGGAGAGCGGGCTATATATTAGACTCCTGCAAGCAACTTTCAGAGTTGACATACGCACATGCATGTAGCTTGCAAGGAAACTCAAGATCGAAACCTGCCCCCTATCATACTGAAAGCTGTTTTTTAAAAAATAAAATAAAAGATTTGATCTAAGATGCAATAATTAATAAATATGTAATATAACTTTCTACGATTATATTACATCTAGCATGTTTAGCGAGGTTCAAGCTACGATTATATTAGTTCTAGCATATTTTTTATTTTAAATTAACCCGACGCCGTATGCGTGCATCTCACATTCTCATTAGCTCTTTCTATTTGTGTGTTTGAACTCAGGGGCGGATCCATGTAGCCCACACTGGGTGCGGCCGCACCCAGACCAAAATCCAAAAAGCTTTGCAGTACGCAGAAATTTACCCTATTTGCACCCATCCAGCCCAAACAACTGCACACATAGTTAATCTCGGAGAGCCCACAACAGCATGCGTAAGCGTTGGCGGCGCCTGAATCTTCGGCTGCACGCTTCGTCGCTCCAGCTCCCGCGGACTTCTCTCTTTCGTATTCCTCCGCGTCCCCGTCGTTTCGTTTCCCCGACTCAAATCCACGCACGACGCGACGACAGCTACGGCACCCCGGTCGCCGGCAGGTGGCCCGCGGCGTAGTTGCTGCTGGGCGCAGCGCAGCACGGCCGCACGCGCACGGCAGCAGGCAACTAGCTAGCAGTTCGCCCGCCTCCCAGTGACCCTGTTCAGTTCTCTGCCTGACTGCTTCTCCCCTGTTCATCCGACGGTGAGACTGATAAAAGGGCTTGTTTGGCACAGCTAACTTCACCAGTAAAGTTGTTTTTTTTAAATAGCTTCATAAGCAATTTTTTAGGTGAAGTTGAGATGTTTTGAAAAAATTATTTGATAAAACAGTTATTTTGAAAATGAGTATTTAGCAAATAAAACAGCTCACAACAGCTCATGAAGATGTTGTGAGCTGTGCCAAATAGGCCTAAAGTTCCAACAATTTAATCAGGTTCTTGTCGCTGTCCTCTTCTTGTAGTCAGTAGTCTTTGTTAGTTTGTACAGATTTTAGGTCTTTAGGGTTAGGAATTTTTGTTCTTTCTATACAAAGTAATTAAGGCCTTGTGTAGGGGGTGTTTGATTCAGGGACTAAAGTTTAGGAGATGTCGTATGGGGTGTTCGGATACTAATAAAAAAATAAATTATAGAATCCGTCAGTAATCCGTCAGGTGAATTTATTAAACCTAATTAATCCATCATTACCACATGTACTGTAGCACCACATTGTCAAATCATGGACTAATTAGGTTTAAAAAATTCATCTCATAAAACAATTTCAATCTGTGTATTTAGTTTCATAAATAGTCTATATTTAATACTCCAAGCATATATCAAACATCCGATAAGACAGCGACTAAAGTTTAGGAGGTGGAACCAAACACCCCCTTAGTTCCTCCCCCTAAAGTTTACTCCCTATCCCATCAAATGTTTGGACACATGTATGGAGTATTAAATATAGACTAAAAAATAACTAATTGCACAGTTTACGATTAATTTGCGAGACGAATCTTTTGAGCCTAATTAGTCCATGATTTGATAACGTGGTGCTACAGTAACACATGTGCTAATGACGGATTAATTAGGCTTAATAAATTCGTCTCATGAATTACTGATAGATTCTATAATTTATTTTTTATTAGAATCCAAATACCCCATGCGATATTCAATATGACACCCTAAACTCTACACCTTGGATTTAAACGAGGCCTAAAATTTAAATATTCTTGTGGATGCTAGGAAAATCATGGAAAATAGACTTATTTGCTATGCGGAGAAAGAAGATTAAAGAAAGTTACAAATGAAGCCATGCTTCGTCACTTCATGAAGGTGTAGATTTGATCTATAACAGGTAATGCATCTATTTTCAATTGCTCAATTATACATTTCTGTAGATTCTTTGCTTGAAATGAATGGTTCGTTTCTTTTTCTACAGGACCGGTGAGGATTTTGTGGTATAGGATTGCATTTCGTCAACGCCGACGATCTTTTGTTAATTGTTATAATTGTGAAATTCTCTAACTATATTTTGGTGAACGGTATGCACTAATGCACTATTACGGCTTCTTTATGGTTGATGTACACCATTATTGCTTGTTTTAAATTATTCAAGCTAAAACCTTGGTTATGGAGCTGTTAAGTTACATTATTGCTTTGTCGCTAGCCTGTACGGCCGCACCCCCCTCTATAAATCTCTAGCTCCGCCACTGTATGGAGGATCTAATCATCTAAGCGCCACACATGGCGGCCATCACTGAGAGCAAAAGTCGCTTTCGACATTGTTTTCCTTTCCTTCGTGGCAGAAGCTTGACTGATGCACACCTGAGTCAGTGTTCCCGGCGAAGGCCAGGCTTATTGGGCCTTTTCCTGTTGGCCCATGATAAAATTCAAGATGCTGACTTTCTACCTGCTGACTTTCAAGCCAAGCCCATTTTAATGTAGTACTGTCAGAGAGGATCATCAGCCAAGCACATCATCCCTACAGATGGCCTTTAGTATTTATTTTTAAATTTCGTTTTTTTTAAAAAAACTTATCCAAACCAAACTTTTGCAAAACTGTATTACTGCCGCCGATTGAACCGGAAGGAAGCACTTACCGCTAGTTGAATTGGCGGTGCTTTCTTTTCTCTGTCAACTCATGTTAAAAAATCATAACTTTTCTAAATGAATTCAGATAAAGATAAAATTATATGAAAGATACATATGTTCATATATCTATTTGTAGATCTGAACGCTAAATTGATTATTTTAGTATCGATATGGCTTTAAGTTAAAATATTGTCAACTACAAAATATGGCTTTAAACGGAAATATTGTAAACTACAAAATTGCAGATCTTTTAGGTGCCCACAATATTTATATAAATGTTATCCCTATATGAGGTTATATGAAACAATTATGATTTTTCTTAAATATGTTGCACTAACTAGTGGATAAGTCGAGGCACTTTATTTACACCCTTATGTAGCACATAGTTAAAAAACTATAAGTTTTTTTTATAGTCACACATGAATGAAGATAACATATAAGAATTGTATTTAACAATGTAATCTACAACCTTAAGTTCACAATAAAATTATAACTTTTATGATGAAGCCTTTAATTTTGAGAGGCAGAATTGTAAATCACAGGGAGCTGCGCCTGGTCCTTGACGACCAAGGTCAACACCTCAGGGCGCGAGGAGTGCCCCACGACGTCGAAGTCGAACTTGGCCCGAACGATTTCACTGAAATCTGCACACGGCACACAGCGAACGTGTCAGCGCACAAAGACGTGCCGTGATGAACAGCCAGATGAGTTGGTTGTCGATCCTCAATAGTACTACGCACCTAGATCGGCCGTGAGGAGTCCCTCGCCGTCGTACTTTGGTCCTGCGAGGACGGCCCCGGACGGCGAGACGATGACGCTGCCGCCGCGGCAGAGGACGTCGTCCGGCGCGGGCTCCTCGTCGAACCCGGTGAAGGCGTACTCGGGCGGGGGCGGGTAGTCCTTCCTGCGGCAGAACTGGTTGGCGGACAGGAGGAAGCACCCGCCCTCGTGCGCGACGTGCCTCGCGGACGCCTGCCAGAGGTCGGAGTCGTCGGCGGTGGGCGCGCAGTAGATCTCCAGGCCCTTGCCGTAGAGCGCGGCCCGGGCCAGCGGCATCTTGCTCTCCCAGCACACGAGCGCGCCGACGCGGCCGATCGGGGTGTCGTAGACCGAGAGCGTGGAGCCGTCCCCGCACCCCCAGAGCACGCGCTCCAGCGCCGTGGGCACCAGCTTCCGGTGCTTCCCGAGCAGCTCCCCCGCCGGACTGAAGAAGAGCACCGTGTTGTACAGCGTGCGCCCGTGCCGCTCCACCGCGCCCATCACCAGGTACACCTTGTACTTGGCGGCGAACGAGGCCAGGAGGTTCGCCTCGGGACCTGCGTCGTTGTCACGGATTCTCATGTTCGGATGTAAACAGTACTCGTGTCTACGGATCAGAGCTTACCGGGGACGTCGATGGCGGAGGCGTAGTACTTGCAGAAGAGGTCCTTCCCCTTTCTCCCTTTTGCCTGCGGGGGGCCGCCGATGGTGACTCCGAAGTCGCTGCCGCGGGGGAAACCGCCGACGAAGACTTCCGGGAACACCACCAGCTGCGCGCCCTGCTCGGCAG